GATGCCAAGAAAGAGTTGGTAACAAGTGCTGCTGCCTGCCTAACGACGGGTAAGAAGTTCCGCTGGTCCGGCCTAGGAGCTGTCTGAAAATCACCGTTTTGATGATTGGATGAGAAGCAGCGAAATCCCCACAGCTTCCTGATGCGAAGAAGTTCCTTTTTTTTTCTCCGCACTGCGCTTGCGCTTAAAATAGCAGCGCCAGGCTCCAGGCCGCCTTTGCCTCGTGGCCCTTTGGCATTGGCACCTTAAGAACCCCCACCTTTCGGAAAGCTGAGAGAGGCGCTTCTAAGCTGGTGAAGGGCGGCGCGTTGATTGCCTTCAAGATCGAAGAGCTTTAGATTCGATCGGGAGGAGGCATTGCCGCAGGCGCAACCCAGGCTTTGCCACGCTCTGCGCACGCAGCCTTTGTGCGTGCGGCTCTGCCCGCTCTGCGGCGCTGCATGCTCTGCGGCCCTGCACGTAGCGCCTGGGGAACTTGCAGCAACTTGGGTGCTGCTCTTGCTTCCCTTTTATTTGCAGCTCTGGCGGCTGCCGAGGGGGCGAAGCCAAGACTAGAGTCCTAGAGCCTTAGCATAGCCATATGCATCGCCATCCCGGGGGCCTTTCACTGACACTCTCTCGCACCGGTTGCGACCACACATAACCGGGAGGGTCGCGCACCGGCTGCTGGTATGGAGGCCAGCAGAAACCAGATAAAACCCCACCCCGGGACTTCTCACCTAAGCACACTATAGCCTATTGCCTGATGGCGATGAGATGGACATCTTCAGGTCAGCAGCCAGCTTGATTTTTGTATCCCTGCTGGTGGCGCCCAGTCTCAGTCCCTCCAACTTTGACGCAAGAGGGAGAGGGGCAAAGCTGGCGCGGCTGTAACCGTGCAGACGGTCAGGCAATTCCCAAACCTTGTGCGTCCCAGACCGTCACCCGTTTAAACCATCGGAAGGAACGGAGCGGAAGGCAACTTTAAGGCACCGTCGATGGCCATTGCACCGTGCTTTCAGGCTCATGAAGCGTGTTGTGGCCAAAGTCGCCCAATGAAGAGTTGAGGATTTCAGCAGCAGGGCGAGCAGGGATTTGTGTCCGTGTGTCTGAAATGCGAGGCCATGTGGGGGGTCTCTTTCCGAGAGCCATGCAGGCCCTCTTCGCCTGCGCCGGCGTCGCTGTAGCCTGCAGTTCTCTCTAAGTCACGAAAGGCACCGCGCCCTCTTTGCTGCTGTCTCAGAGGGGAATCGCGAAGCTTGGAGAGGGATGGAACCGCCCCGGCGCAGCGGAGCGCAAGCAGCGCTTAGCGGCCAAGCTTGCGATCTCTAAAAGTCAGCGTCCCTCAGGACGTCCGAGGGTTTGAGGCGCCTGGCCGCCGGGGTTCGGTGCTAGATAAAGCCAAAAAGAAGCCCATGCCTCACTGCGAACTACTGAGCGGCTTCTGTTTGCTGCTTGATCGCCTGCATCGTGGCGCCTGAGCTTTCTTTTTGGGCCTAGAGTGGGCCCAGAGCCCATGCCCATGCAGAGAGACCTCGGCTGCTCTGTCACAGCAGGGCTGCTTAAGTGACGGGCCTTGTGAGCTCCTGCGCTTTTGACGGCTGCAGCCGAGGTCTCGCTGCCTCGCTCTCTCGTCCCCCCTTGCCGCGTTGACTCATTCTTCGACTCGTCGCTTCGATTTCCTCTTCGCTCTCAGGCGCAGCCACGCCGTGAGCTGAGAGCCTCTGGCCGCAGGTGCGGAGTGGCGCGTGGAGCCCTTCACATCTAACTTCGAGCATTCAGCAGTTGTTCGGCTGAGGCATGCTGGCTTTTGGCACTTAGATAAACCTACATGGTTCCTCTTCGGGTTGCCGAGTTAGAGAAGCAGCTTTCCTAGCTTTGCAGTCCAAGGAGGACGGTGGCTCACGCGATCGTGGACGCTCCCGAAAAACCCCCCTTGGCCTGAGCGAGGTCTCGCTCTCGCCGCAGCGCAGCTGCAGTCAGTGCCTGTGAGGGGCCTTCCTTATTAGCTGAGGACATGGGCCTGGGCCGGCCTGGGGCGGCCGGGCCCTGTCCGGGCCCTGAACTGAAGTCACCAAAGTACGAGCCCTGCTGGGAGCCCTGCTGGGAGCCTGACAGTCAGGGAGCTTTCAGGCAAATCGAGCTCTGCCAAGTCCCATCTCTGGGAGTTCTCAGGAGGCACTGTGTCCAAGCTTGACTCGGCTCAGTCACTTCGCAAACCTTCCCCATTCGAGAGGCATGGCATGGCATAGCAGCTTATAGCATAGTGTGACGCAGAGTCAGGGTTTTTTCAGGTCATACAGCATGAGAGGGGCTCGCGAGGCCCTGGGCGCAGAGAGAGTGCGATTTGGGGCTTAGAAGGCGGCAATGTGTAGCGTGCACACAGGCTCGGCCCCGCTCCGCAGCTAGCACTTTCCCGAAGAGCTGCTTCTGCTCTTCCCTGATATAAGCTTAGGGCCCTACAGACTCGTCCCCAAAAAACTTCGGTAAAGCGCAAGCCAAAGAGAGGTTTCTGTGGATACCGCGCCGGAAAGCACTTCATGGCCTTGCACGGCATTTCAAGAGGCTCCATCCTAGTCAGGGGGCAGCTGTGCCAGAGCACAGATCTTGTGACCTGTGGAAAGTATCAATGCAGCCGTCCTGCTTTGGGCAGTGCTGCTCGTGTGACCTCTGAAAGGAGGGCGACAAAATGCCGCCTGATGAGGGGTTGCAGCTGAGCCCCTGAAACGCTGCTCTCTGCGGCCCTGACATGAAAGCGAAGGCGGAGGCGTGGCGAGGGCGCGAGGGCGCTTGCGGGAAGATTTTTGGAGGAAGACTCTTCTCAGGGAGCCCAGGCCCTTTGCCTTTGCCCCGGTCCTGAGTCCCGGAGGAGCTCTTCGAAAAGAGACAGACGATGGCAGGGCGGCGAGGAGTTCAATTGCGGGGTTCTGCCTGACATGAGAGGTCGCAGGAGGGTGGCACCGCTGCGAAGGCTTCGCGAGAGTGTTCGCCGCCATAGTTCGATGAGTTCGGTGACGCTACTGGCACCGCTGCTGGCACCGCTCCACCTTCCCTCTCAAGCCACAATGTCTCACAGAACGCCTTTAACCACCCTTTCACCCCCCGCGCTTGGTAAATGT